ACAGACTTGATTACCTCCCCGGCGGCAAATAATGGATCCGCATACTAATTCCTTTTGGTTATTAACTTGTTAGCAGGATTCCTAGAGCAAATGAATGATCAATACCAGGGCGATCTTGTCCGATAGGAATTAAGGGGTTTAACTCCAATCTGGTTTTGAATTCGTAGCACGTTTCCCTTGTCTGATGGTTGTTTAATTCTTGTAGCGTTGATTGTTTTCGATGTTCGGACGTATATATGATAAAATCGATTCTAATTGTTCCGTTTTCATCTTTTCGAGTTTATTCTCTTGGAAGACTTTAATGATACACGCACATACATCAAAAAAGTTGAATTTCTTTTTTTTAATCTGTCTGTCTGTCTCTCTCTCTTGAATTTTAGCATCAGCAGTAATTTTTGAAAAATACTTGAGCCCATTATAGACAAGAACTTTTGTTCACTCATGAGCATATATTGGGAAAATTTTAATGATGATAGTCAAAGGGAAATTCTATGCAGAATAATAATGAAGAAAAATTTTTTAAAAAACGGCGAATCAAGGTTGAATGGTATCATATGTGGTTACAGAGGATTTACTCAATTTTGAAACGAATCATTGTTATGAAAGATTTTCTCGTTAATTATATGAAATGAATGCTCTATTTCACAAAAGAAATCATGTTATTAGAAAATTTGTCGATAATAATTTATACGATATTAATCATTCATGAAAATGTTATTGAATTTGATTAATTAATTCTTTTTTTTTTTTTTTAAGAAGAAATGTAAAAGAAAATAATTTTGTTTTACAAAATACAAAAAAAAAAAATTTAAAGAATATTTTATTAACAATTTGTCTCAAGGAGGTTTTAAAAAATTTTATACGGCCACTAGATCTTAAAAAATGTCATTGCACGCCTAATGAACCTCCCCAAGGATAAAGGCTATAATTTTAAAGAAGATATTTTATCCTGTTTGTCGTAAAGATACCGACTACTGCTACTAGACCTAAAAGTTATATGATTCTACCCCTCAAGAAAAATGTTGATTTTAAAGATAGTGTTCATTTTAAATCTTCCAAAGAACTCTTGAAGTTGAATCTTAAATTATAATTCTCAAGTTAAATTTTACATTAAAATTCTAAAGTTATATATCTTACATTAAAATCTTAAAAGTTAAATTTCCCATTAAAATCATAAAGTTCAAATTACACCTTGAGAACTGATTTAAAAATAAATCTAACTTAAAAAAAAAACATTAATTTATTAATTAAAATAAGATTTTTTTAATTTCAATCTAATTTTATAAAATTATTATTAAAAGATTTTTAAGATTTTAATAATTTAATAATTTAATAAATTACATAAAACCTTAAAGACTCTTCCTCTTTCTTTCTCATAAAAGTCTTAGAAGGTAAATTCGAAATTAAAATCTACCTCGGATCGAATAAGCTCTTGACCTCAAAGACGGGATTAAGTTGAAGAATACTATACTAATCATAAAAGATGTTGGTTTAAAGGGTCGAGTTTATATTAAATACATGAAGCTTAACGATTATTGCTCCCCTATATAGTCGACCGTAAATACACACAGCAACCCTAGTAATGCTGCTAATCATATAAGTTTACGAAAGAATCTAAGTCTATATAAGAGACATTCTATTTATAAAAAAAAATTTTTCTTCTTTTTTCTTTACACATCATTCGTAAAATATCCGTTCTAATCGATCATATACATTTTTATTTTCTACGAGGTAAAAGTATATAATTTCCTAAGGGAAAAAAAAATGTAATGAAGATCGTAAACGAAATCTTTCAAGACACTAGATATATATGAGCAATGTCTTAATGATAATAATAATAATAATCCTGTAGCCACATATTCGTCCCAAGGGTTTATACACGTATGATGAAAAAGCATTTTTGTCATAATTCTGAAGTTTCTCGACGATAAAGGAAAATTGCTACCTTAGCTACTAGTTGATCACTATTAATATATCTGGCTTTCTCAGTTCAGTGCTGATGATTTAATCATTTCTAGAAACATTTTTTCAATCATATCTAAAATTACAAATTAATGTTTCTAAAAACTATCAAAAACACTAAAAGTTTGTCAAATGTTCAAAATTTTTAGTGTTCAAAATTCAATATGGATTCTAAAATTTTAAAAGGGTTTTAAAATACTAAAAGGGTTTTAAAATTCTAAAAAGGTTCTAAAACCCTTTGAATAATTGATGTACTGTTTCTAAAAATTAGTACAATTATTACCAGAAGGCTTAAAGTTTACCAAATATACTATCAGGAAGCCTACTACGAAATCTCTGTTTAATGTTTTTAATGACGATCAATTACAGACTGATCTAATCATGCTAAAGATTATCACTATCTTAACTGTGTCTCAATTAATGCCTATTATAATTATCATTACTAATCATCATTATTAATACCTCATTTGTCAAATATCCATTTCTGCCTAAATCTTCCTAATTCTTATGGAAACAATCAAAGTAGCACATCTCAATTGTCGATGTATCTTTCTAATCCTCATCCAACGGCTTAACAGGCAAATATTTATTAATTAATTCTCCCAATGACTATATTATTACCTAGAGTGAGAAAATCCTATCATTGTTTAATCTTCTTTATGAATTGAATCGTGTAATCTTCTTAAAGACAATCCTTATCTGAAGTAGAAATTCTGTATTAATACCTCATCTTTACAAATCATTCTTATTAATCCATACAAAGTTGCAAATCTCTGCAAATGCTGAATGTTCCTAATGAATATCAATTTCTAAAGTATATAAAATGTCTGTTGATGCTTTATCTGGTTTATAATTACCATTACCTGAATTATCTAATCTTTTCAAAGACCATATGGAATGAAATTAAAATTTCGTTATTAATCCTTACGAAATCTTTATTAATCTTTTTAATCATTAGCAATCTTTCTAACTGTTATTAATCTTTCTTTGCATTATTAATCTTGCTAACCGTTATTAATCTTTTTTATTATTAATCTTCCTAATTATGAATTTCCCTAATTATTAATTTTCCTAATCATTAATTCTCTTAATTATTAATTCTCCTAATTATTAATTTTTCTAATTGTTAATTTTTCTAATTTTTAATTCTCCTAATCATTAATTCTCCTAATTATTAATTCTCCTAATTATTAATCCTCCTAATCATGATTAATCCGTAAGTACCAAATCTTAGTGCTTAATCTGTCCAATGAATATTATAATACCCAATGTACGAAATTTGCCACTGATGCTTTATCTTTCTATAATTATTAATACTTTGTGTCGAAACTTTCCAATGATATTTAATTTATTTTTAGGATCATCAATACCTGATTTTACTAATCTTTCTATATATCCGTAATCTGCAAATCTTTTATTAATATCCAATATTTTCAGGTTAAATTACTGCACTAAGGTTTAAAAATCTACTAATTAACCTTCCTAATGGCTATCGATATCTAAAGTCAGAAATTAGTATTTTTATAATCCATTCCTAATTCACCTAATCTTTCAAAAATTCTTCCAATGCCTTATCAAGAATTCTACTAATTCCTAATATTCCTATAATAATTTCTAATATTTACTAATAATTTTAGAAACTATAACAGTGTCTATTTCCTAATCTTCGTAATTCTTTTGATTACCCTAACTACAAATTCTGTATTTTTGACTAAGTTTCCTAATCATCAAAACTACAAATCAGAATCATTTTTACAAAGTTTACCAAAATCTACAGTTTTAAAAACCATTACCTAATTTCTCAAAAATTCTTCAATGCCCCAGCAACAAAATTTCTACGAACCCCTAATATTTCTAATCACTTTTTTTTGTATAAATTTTGCACAAATCGCTACTCTTAGCTGATTAGCAACGGTTATAAAAATGCTAAAACGATTCCTTTTTTATAAGCGGCAATTAGTACAAACAAAACAGGCAAAATTTCAGTATTTTGAAGCAACGTTTGTTAATTTTTTATTTCGTATTTTGAGAAATAGGCCAAAGTGATGTTCTTTTGATCTCTTTAAATTTATACTATAATATATCAGGGACATTAAGTCTGAAGGAAAGCACTTTTAAAAACACATTCGAATTTTATGAACGGAAACAAAACCATCACATTTCCCGTGCGGTATTTCAGCAACATAGCAAAGGTTAATGACCTCATTCATATAGTCGTGACTAATAACTCACTCGGATAATTACGAAAATTACAATCTGCATTAACAGACCCAGTGCTAAATCTTCGTTATCAAATGCTCCTTAATATTCTTCATCAACTGCTTTGCTTTCCCCTCCACTCCTACCTTCTTGCAAGAGGAAGAGCAAAACATCATCAGATTCTCTTTAGTAAATCTTTCTATACTCTCAATTCACATCCCTCTATTGTGTGCGAGAATTAGAATTCAATTTTGTATCCTAACATTGTGTTTATTTTTCATCGAAAATTAATTTTTTTTCATAATTCGAAAAATTTAAAAATGATAAAATAGATTTTTTCTTTGATACCGAAAGAAGTAATTTTGCTATCCTTCTTGAGGAAATATATAATAATTTTCGTGTAGCATCTTTGCCAGCGGCACTTTGAGGGGTTTATGGAATTTGTTTGTCTTCCTATATATAAGGAACGATAGGGGGTATTAAATTCATTAACAGAATTTCAGGAAAGGAATATCTTCTCTCGAAGAAAAATTTCCTGTTTTATAAATGTGAGTGGCTTTCATTTTTGGAAAAAATGTTTCATGAAGTTTTTTTTTCTTTTAATTTTTAGCATCTGCTTTGAGTTGTTTCTGTCCTTTTTGGAGAGGTTTAGTGAACCATTTTACCGGAATGAAAACATTTCCACTTTTTTTTTTTTTGAAACGAATGTTTATAAATCCAATTTTTTATCCTAATTTCCATTCTAATTTTTTAGAAACATTTTCTAATAAAAATTAATTATACTATTTCTAAAATGGAAATTTTTTTGTTTTTCAAAATAAAAAAAAAAACAAACTCACTGTCTTTCACGGAGAGTGCACCGATAATCCAAAGTGGTAAAAATGGAATCAAAAGAATGTTGAAGTGTCTCGAACTTGTGGACCATCCTCGATTCCACGCACACATCCGTAAATGAATCATGATCCCTCTCTTTTTCTCTCATGAACAACTTTTCTTCACCATTATTAGCCTAATTTTTTTTTTTTTAAAAAAACCACAAACATTTTTTACACCCACCCCCCCAAAAAAAGGTTCCTAGTTCTTCATTTCTCATCTTCCAAAAACTCCCGCAAGATCATCATTAATCAGATGAAAAACAAAAAACAAAAAGAAACACCAAATAAAATTTCTCTTCCAAACACTATTTCTCACACCACTGATACTTCCATTGGAAATTTTTTTTAACCATTTGGAAAAATGAAATTTAAGAAAAAAAATAAGAATATTTTTTTTTTTTTGCAAAACACAACACAGTAACACTATTTTCTTTTTTTTTTCAAAACACTAGCGATTTTTTTTAAATGCTTTAAGGAGATGATTTTTTTTTCACGCAAAAAAAAAAAAAAAATGATGATGAACCGTTAAAATTTCGCGCGCGCGTTTTATTGAGAGAGAGATATATATGAAGAGAGGCTAGTAAACGTGCGGATACAACCAAGAGACATCGGCGAGATTTCGCTCTCTGCCGTGCGTCGTCACGTCGATCGAAAAGAGCCGGAGGATAATTGCGCGCGCGCGCACCTGTTTCGATTCGCATGCGCTTCAAGAGACCAATATTTTGTATATATATATATATATATATACATATAGAGAGAAAAAATATATATATGTGTATTTTTGCGTGTGGGTTAAAAAAGACAGTGGCCACGGTGGAGTTGTCGCGCGGTGGAAAATTCACGATTTGGGGTGAAAGGGGCAAAGGGGGTGGGAGGGGAGGGGGTGAAAAAAAATCCTCGGTCGCGGCCACTGGGCCATTACTTTCTTTAACACGAGAGGAGGTGCACACACATCAGGAGATTCTTTTCCCCCTGGAGCGACGCGACACACATGATTATTCCCATAAAAATCATTAGTTACAATTTTTATTTTAAAGAAAATAATAATTTTTTTTTAAACGAATTCAATTATAATTCACAATTTTTATTCACAGTAAAAATTTTGGTACTTGAAAAAACTTTACGTCTTGTTGTATATTTAGGATAAATTAACGAGAAATGGTATACGTTAACATAACCTAAAAAGTGAGAAATTTTTCTTTAATTTAACGCAAAACAAAATTCATTATTTTATTCTGCAATTAACAATAGGTCTTTTAAAAATTAATTGTAATTAATTTTAAACATAATTTTGTTTGCATTAAATTGTTAAAAAACAGTTTTGAGGTTATGTGTACCATTTCTCCTTAAGTAAACACGATTTTTAAGTTAGGAATTGTGAATATCGTTTATTTGTCTAAAAACCAGATAATAGCGCGAAATTCAAAAAAAAGGAAAAATAGAACAATATTTTAGGAAATTAAAAATAAAAAAAAACTTGTTCAACAAATTTTAAATTTTTCCTACTTTAATCGTAATAGTAATAACTTTTTCATTTGGCGTAGATAAAAAAATTTTTTTGTGATAAATAAAATTTTTATTTAAATCAAATAAATATTTATTTGAAACAAATAAAATTAATTTGTCTCTGATGAGCAATAATAAATAATTTATTTGAAACAAAAAAAAATTTATTTGGCTCTGAATAATAATAAATAATTTATTATTACTCAAAGCCAAAGAAATTTACCGAAGTAAGGGACCTTAGAAGAAAAACGAATTATAGGTTATGTTAACGACAGTTTTACCTTGATTAAAAGTTCTTTTTTATTTCTCTATTATCAAAATTAGTTTTTACGGATTATTTTAGATACAATGAAGACTTAAATATTATTAAAAATTAATCCTCTTTGTGCATTTTCAATTAAAAATTTAAAAACATAACCTATAATTTTTTGATTCTAAGGTCCCTTTCTTCGCGGCGCGTCACGTATATCTTTTTTCTGAGAATAAAAAATCGTTTAAAATATAAATTCTCTCAATAAAAATTCGTCTAAAAAATAATAAAATTCTAATCATTTTTATGTAATAATCATACACCCCCCCCCCACACACACACGAGGGATGAGATCCGATTACGAAAAGTCCTTCGTTGTAAGAGTTGAAGGAGGGGGAAGGGGGTGAATAAAGCTCGACTTTTGACGGTGACAAGACAAGAGGAATAAAAAGAAAAGAAAGAAAAAGAAAAAAAAAGAGTAGTGCACTCGAATGTTACTGAGGACCGATTCTCTTCTTTAATTCTTTCTTTCTTTTTTTTTCATTTTTTTTTTGCACGCACTCGACGTTATATTCTTTATGCCCTCACACTCAAATCCTCTTGGGATAATATCTCTGTCTCTCTCTCTCTCACACTCTCTTTGCGAAAAGGCGAACGTGAAAACGTGACATGAGAAGAGGGAGTCTCGTCACTCTATATACTCGAACTGAAATTAGTTTTTAAATTTTCTCTCTCTCTCTCTCTCTCCCTTTCCTTCAAAGGGAGAAATAGGGTTTTCTACTTTAAGTGCAAAAGTGCTTTTTTTATGTATATATATATATATAAGTCTCGGATGATTTTTTATGGTTTTATTTCAAATTTGAAGAAATAACGATTTTGTTGAGTGACATTTCTTTTTTTATATATATATAATACTTGCTTGGTATGCACTTTTGACCTTTTCTCTTACTGTGACTTCTTCTTTCTATATAGACTCTTTCTGCGAGTCAGCTACTGAATAGAAAAAAGTTGAGTTTTTCTTTTCTCTTTTTTTTTTGTCATTTTTCTTTTATCTAATGTCACGAAATATACGAGAAATGTGAATGGAATATTCATGTTCTATTGGAGATGTTATAATATTGTTAATTGTGAAAAATTAAATTACACTCGAACCTCGATTAATGGGACGTGTTCAAAATTTTTTATTAGAGTAGAGAATGTAATTTTATTTTTTGCTATTTTGGAGAAAATTGTATTTTTAGTTTTGAAAAAAAAAATTTGCTTAATACAGTTGAACCTCGATTACAGAGATAGTGTGTGTTCAAAATTCTTGATTAGAGTAGAGAATGTAATTTTGTTACTATTTTTGAGAAAATTGTATTTTAGTTTTGAAAAAAAAAAAAATTGCTTCATACAGTTGAACCTCGATATATGGGACAAAAAACAAAACGTGCTCTTTTATCGAGGTTTCAGTGACACTTAAAAGTTTACTGTTTAAAAAAAATTAATACGAATTCACGAAGAATTAAAAAAAGTGACAATTTTCGTTTTTAAAAAATTTTATGGTACACTTAAACCTCGATATAAGGAGATTATAAGATTATATCAAGGTTTTAATGTAGGTAAAAAAAAGAAATATAGAAAAACAATTAATGCAGTCAAACTTCGCTATAAGTATTGAATAATCGAATTATTATTATTATTATTATTATTATTATTGTTATTGATTTTTTAAAACTTGCGAAAAAAAAATTAGCACGATAGGCTTATATAAACAAAACGGTAAAACAAAAAAAAAAACCAGAAAAAAATCAAGTGAGAGACAAATGAATTTTCTCAAGTTTATTATTTTCATTCTCTGTTTTATTTATATATTGAAACATAAATAAGAATTTTTGCTGCACGCACATTTCACTATCAGCTCTCATCATTTAATTTCATCAAGTTTATTTTTTTTCCTGATATATGTAGGAAAATAAAAAAATAAAAAAAAAACCCCCTCGTATATTTTCTCCTGTTTCCCAAGCACACGCATGAGAAAAAAAAAGAAAGATTATTTTGTAATAAATTAATACTCAGAATTTTCTATATTATATTTCGTTAGAATATAAAAGAAGGTAATTATTATTAGATGATATTTACATATTAAAAAATATGTGGATAAATAAAATAATTTTTTTTGTCTACATTTTTTTTTTATTTAACGGTATTATATATTAGTATATATATATATATATATATATATATATATATATATATAAAATTCGCTAAAAGCAAATATTATTTTACGTTAATAATGTATTTAAAAAAATTTTTCCTTTTCACAATGTGGTAAAATATAATTTTTATTATTCATAATAATAATAATTATTATTTTTTAACAGTAGTAATAATAACAATAATAATAATAATAATAATAGTATTGTACATGGAGGTTTAAAGTTTTCCTCGTCTTTTTCCATGTTAAATTCTTGACTATATAATTTAATATTATGTGAAATCTTACTACTGGCCAAGGATAAACAGAAAAAATGAAACAAACAAAGGAAAAATATTATTAATAAAATTTTCTTTCAAGACATTTCTCTTTTGCTTTATATTTCAATTTGTGTGAGTTTATGTTAAGATGTATATTTCAAGCGCAAAGAAAGTATCTCCCATTACTTTATCATAATATTTCATAATGCTAATTCTATAAATATGCCTTTGATATTATAATTATATGAGTTGAGAAAATTTACTTTGACATTTTAATTCTTCTAACCATATATATATATATATATATATATATATATATAAATTTTATTCTACGAGAAAAATTGAATTTATTTAATTTTACCTGTAAACAAAGTCTTAACTAAAGGAGACGATGAGAAAGATAAAGTATAAATTTCATGACGAGATTTATTATCAAAATTGAATGAACAAGTTTTTTTCTTTAACGAACTTAAAGAATTTTTTTTTTTCAAAAAAATAACCGAATTTCAATATTAAGAAAAAAAAATTACTTGATTCTACTAAATAATTATTTATTGATAATAATCAACTAAACAGGTATATTTGAATCAAATAAATTATTTTTTTCAGCGTAGAAAAAAGAAATCTTTGTAAATATTACAAAAACCCAGAGATGAGAATTTTTTTTTTTTTTTTTTTTTACTACATAAATTTCGATATCATTCGAGTTTGTCGGAATCAAGTAGAAGATTAAATATTAAAATATTTGTTATATATAGATATATATATTCCATTCATTCAATCTCTCGATTCTGATTAAAAATACTTTCAATAGACAAGAATATTTTGTGAAAATACAATGTGCGGAGGTACAAAAGTGATTTATTATTTGTGCGTATATATATATATATATATATAGTTCAATAAAAATATATTTTTCAAATTGAAAATGCATCCACATTGAACGATATTGTCGTATATCCAAAGAAATGGAAAATACTTCAACTTCTTATATTATTCTTTTCTTCTTATAACTTTATATATATATGCCCTATACACATTCTATATATGTTGGTGGTTCCATAAAATAGAATCGACTTTTAAAAGTCTTTGACGGTGATAAACACCTTTACTTGGATAATAAAAAAAAATTTTAACATTAAATTTTTTTTTTTTGACCAAATTTTCATTGTCGCGAGACAAATAAATTCATTTTTTTTCAATTAGAGAAAAACTGGCTAAATCCTAACTAGAGCCCTATTTTAAATTTATTGAAAAATTCGCTTTGGATGGAAAATTCTGTTCAAATCCCTAAAATAAATAAATTATTATTGAAATAAATGTGACTAGGCTTAAAAATGTAGATAAAGATATTTAGATTTTTTCCAAAAAGAGGAAAACTAGATAGAGCCTGGTCAGAGCCCTATTTTTAAATTAAGGC